CCCACAGAGCAGGTCCCTGCTGCGATCCTCAGGATATGACTTCTCTACAGATTTCAGGGTGACTTTTTGCCCTGTGACCTCTGTTTTTCCCTGGACCCAAGAAAAGCCATCAGTGCTCAGCTTGTTCAGCTTCTTCTAGTTGATGGAATGAGAGGGAGACTGAGTTCTAATTCGTCCCCATCCCTCCAATCCACATCTTTTTATTTCTTGCTTGCTTTGCTTTCTTTTGCTGGAGTACTTCCTGAAGTAGTTTTCAAAGAAAGGTTGGACAGGAAGTGAATTTTCTGAGTTCTTATGGCCTAAAACTTTTTAAATGCTTGCTTACACAGGTTCTTAGCTTGTTGGAATCTAGAATCCAAGGGAGAAAATCACTTTCCCTTTAAATTTTGAAGCTGTCATCCAAGGGTGTGTGTGTGTGTGTGTGTGTAGAAAGGGAGGGCATTTCATCCTCAAATTCTCTCATGTTCTCTTCTTCCTCAAGCAGCATCATCTCTTCCCACTGAATCTATTTCCAGCTGAATAAGAATTCATATGAATTCAATGCATGAGCCATGAGGAAATCGCAGTAGATAAATAATTGACTAAATGGTTATAAGAGAGACTTGTTAAAACGTAGTTAGGCTTGATACTTTTATAAACAACCACAAAAGAACTGTGGGATTTCTGTAGCCCACCTTTCAATGGGTGATCAACTTCTTCACGCATTGAAACCTTAATAAGGATCCACTACTTGGTTGCTTGTTCTTTCTCAAAGACCCTTGATGATAAACATCTTGGCTATTGGCAATTACATGGAGATTATTCTTTTCTAGATCCGAAATAGACTTTTCTAAATACTACAGAGGAGATTAGCATATGCATTTGGTTTTATTACTACATTTTAATACCATGCTGGCAATTCATCCTGCTGATGAAATGGCGTTGATTGTCCTCTGCCGCGGTGTCTCCGTCACACGGGCGACCCGATGCGGGCTGCGGGAGGCTGCCATGCAGCTGTGAGCTGGCAGAGCCCGGCTCTTGGCTCGTCTTCTCTGGAAGCCAGTCTCTGAGTCGCTGGAAACTTCTCTCTCTAACTTACCAGTGTTCCAAGCTGCCCTGCTCTGACACCTGCACCCCGTACCACTGAAGGACACTTTGGGCACTCGGGTACCCATGGCGCTCCAAGAACTTAGGTTACAGAAATGTGAATTCTGAACACAATGAAACTTTATTTTGAATTATTTTACATCTTTAATAAATATGCTTATACTTTTAGGGCACCTTTGGGTTCTACCCACCATCTATTCCTTCATAATTTAAAGGTAATTTCCTCGATGTTGGAGTTGAGGGCACAAAGGAACCTCCATTTCCACCCAGATGTCCTCATGGAGGCCAACACAGATACAATTTTTATTTGAAAAAGTATGAAGCCAGCTAGGCTTTGCAGAAACACCTTTGGAGAGCTTTTGCCTTGACAACTTCATTTCTTGGAAAATAATTTAATGTCTGTTTCATGTGATTCCTCTTGTGCTTTCCACTCTCTGACAGATTTCCATTCTCCTCAAATCCCATCGCCATGTCCAAGTCACGGCCCCCTCGGTGACGGCCTTGGCGGCCGGGCACCCCACGTCACTGCACCTGCTGTCTCACTCCCCGGGTCTCAGACCCTGCCGTCAGTCTTGACCCCAGCCCCACACCGTCATGGGATTTCGCCATAATGCCACGTCCCTGTTCAGGCACCTCCCTCGGGCCCAGCTCCTATGACCAGTCCTCTCCTTCCTGTCATCCACACTCCAAAGCAGTGAGCCCCACTGTCCAGTCTCAGGTCTTCAGAGTGCAGTGACCTGTGTCCCTACCACCTGGAGTGCCCCTAGCTGTAGTATTTAATGTGCCTGTCTAATAACATAGCTGACTGGCACGTGTCCCCATGGGCAGGGAACAGCATCTTGACATGGCTCATGTCCCCCACAGTACTGTTCAGCAACTGTTTGTTGAATGAGTGAGTGATAGACTTCGAAAAATTAATAGAGTCTTTTCTTTGGGGGGTCAAGTTGGGGCATCAGCCAGCAGGATAATTCCGTCAATTACCTTGACTTCTTGAGAGCGCTGGAGAAGAGAGCGCTGGAGAAGAGCCAGCTGGGCAGCCCGCAGTCCAGGGACCAAGAGGGAAGCCTGCCCATCAACTTCTCCACGCTGAGCCCAGAGGAGATCGTCAGGAACATGCAGGAGGCCGTGGAGTCTGCGCAGCCGGCTCTGCTCCAGGTAGGCCAGCTGCGAGTCGGCGTGGAAACCGGGCTCCACCACGGCCCCAGCCACCACC